CTTGTCCTCTGTCATTCACTAGTGTCCCGAATGGTTGGGTGAGGCTTGTATAATTAGGAATGTGGTGTTTGCTAAAACCCTGTAAGACCTAAACATGACAGCAGGTCTTTAACATTATTTGGCTTTGGGTGATGTAAGATTGTTGTCCTGTGTACTGTGACATCCCTGATCCTAAATGCTGACAATCAAACGTCCCAGAAACACAACAGTGCCTGACAACCTGCATCTCGTGCTCACCTTGAACCTTTTCTCAGACAGACTCAACAACACAGGCCACTGGAGTGTGTTTCTGTTTACTGTGTGACAAATGTAAAACCTAAGATATTATTTTTGTATAACTAATGATCTAGTCATTGTATGAATTGTTTAAGAACAGTTTTCAGACCTCCCCCTTTGAAACATCTATTGTTTTGCTACAATTTATCAACTCACATATCAACCCTAAAAACCTTGTCAGTCTTACTGTATAGTTTCAGAATGATTCAAACTAGAACTCTAATAAATGGTGTAGTTGTAAAACTATGAAAACCAGCACATTCAACCTAGACTTTAAGACCATAAAACTAAATGACTTAGCATAGCTCCAATATCATTTGCAGCTGAAACAATTAATAACTAAATAAACTTAATCCCTTGTGGCAAACCAGACCTGCTGAAATGATCTCACTCATAGGGGAAAGCAGACAGATATTTAAATAAAAAAAAAAACATTTAGCAAACTCAATCCAAGTCAGGTTTCTGGTACAGGTCTCTCTTGTAAATGAGTCCTTGTGACTCAATGAGACTAACCTGTAAAAACAAAAGTTAAATGAATGAAAAAGTAAATATTTTTTCTCTGGGGGCCAGCATTGTTCATTTTTATATAAGGAAATGAGGTATCCAAATTTCCATGTTCCAAATACTTTTTCATCTATGCGTAATTGGAAAAGGCAGTTTATCCAGCAACCCACATCAGTATTATTAAAAATCAGCCTGATCTGTTATCTGTGTCATGCTGTTATATATATATCTGAAGAATGGGTCTATGTGAGTGTTTTATTCATGTCACAGCCAATGCAGCACTGATCATGAAAAACTAGTTATTGCCTCACCATCACAAACCACATGCGGAGCTGACACTTTATGCAGACTGCAGTTTTTGTTAGTGACTTTTGACAGCTTGACCACCGCTGTTACTTTGCTGTTAGTCTCTTCCCGTCTGGATATACTGTATGTTCAAGAGTTCAAGAGTTCATCTGTGTGCAGCACCACAGTTCAAACAGCTGTTGAGGTTTAGTCCAGGTCCTCATCTGGACAAAGTTTCACATAGCTCAGTTTGATCCATCAGCTTGTTGCTTAGCTGAACAGGATGCCTTTCAGTCACAGGCTTCACATCATCAGTCCTTTTACTGTTGCCACAGTCAGGTGTTCTCATAAGTCACATTTGGTAGCAGATGTAGTTTTTGTGTCAACCTGTACACGTGTGATATTTTATTTGGTGATCAAAACCAGAGATTCATGATGCAACACTACAATGCTGTTTGAGTCTGCTCTAGGCACATCATGACATCTAAATGCAAACTACCTGTGTGTGTGTGTGTGTGTTTATGTGTGCCGTTGCCAGAGTCACTGTCCTGATCCAAAAACCCTCTATGATTAACCTTCTGAAAGGAGAAAAAAGGACCAATAAAAAATAAAAAAAAATTAAAATAAAATGCAAATAATATCTGTTGGAAAGTTCTATTTCAGAATATCTGCCAGCATCTACCTCCAACCGAGTCATCCTGCATCCTGGTTTGCACAACTTATTTTAAAAACACTCATTTACATAAAAAGTGAAAACTTATTTAACACTGAAACCAAATTTAAAGCAAAAATTCCCTATACTCTACGTAATATCATAAAATCTTCCATTGTAAATACATCCGCAATTTCCCTTAGAATTAGGCGAGGACACTTAATTGTAATGTTGCCAACTTATGCCAAAATCTGATAATCTCTTTCCCTGTTCTGTGTAATTCTGCATACCTCAGCACAGCTTGATTGTGTGTATGTGTGTGTGTGTGTGTGTGTGTGTGTGTGCATGTTCTCATGGAGTGTGAATGTATTAAGCTGATCCAATCAACGTCCTCCACCCTCTGACAGTGGGGGCAACTTTTCTACTATCGCCTGCACATCACCAATAGCAAAAGGTTTATACCTGGCCTGTCCCCCTCCAGGGCCTGGAACCCTAATAAGTGGACAATTCAACCCATGTGAAGCTGGATCACCAACAACCTCGTCCTTTGTCACCTCTGGCTGCACAGCGTCCAACCCTGAACTAGACAGGCTGCCTAGTTTGTCATAGTTAGAAAAAAAACAAAAAACTGTGTTTGACGTGACTGTTTGGCTGACCTTTATTGCTCACTTTTTACTTTCTCGTCATCTGAGTATACATACACAAAAAGTCAGCTCGTACTAACCAAGTCAACGTCTTTACCTCATAATATTTTTAACTGGATCCCCTTTATGCATTCTTAGGACTTGTGTGAAATCTGATGTTTAAAGCAATAGTTATTGAGAAATTTATATTTTTGGTGTTTTTATACAAACAATATAATTTAGACATGAATAGTTTGTAAGCAACCCTTAGGAGCCTGGATTTGTTGTTATTTCATTTTATTTTACACCCTTGTAGTTAGAAGTTTCTAT